TTGTAATCTGATAATGATGGAATACTATTGTGCTATAAGAAACGATGAACAGAACATCTGGGTTCAAATTTCAGATATGCTGATTACTACCTGTAGATACTTCAGCAGGTCTTTTTCCTTTTTAACCCCTTTGTCAGGGTTGAACTAGACCATCTTTACAATCCCTTCTAGCTTTAAATTGTCCAAACCATAGAAACTACTGAAGACTTAGTATGCTTCATGCAATAGTATCTTTTTATGGTGAAAATATTGCATAAATTGAAAATAGTGATGGAGTTAATTTAGAATTTGTCTACTTGCATTCCTCAAATTTTCAAGGAAGCATCACTATCCAAGACAGACAAAGGTCTTATTTCCTCTATGACTCACAATAAACCCATTACCATAGACTGTAAGTCCTGAGATTTTCATTTGCATTCTGGTCTCATTCTGGTCTAAATCTTTTCCTAGGTGCCTTTGAATTCCTGCATTCTATGACTTCCATATAGATGAACACATTTTTTTTTTCATATTTTCAACTCAATCTACCTGTTTTTACTATTTATTCTTTTCTCCTTTTTGGATGTATTCCATGCATCTGGAAGACACATCAGAAACACTGGGTTCTACTTCTATGTATCCTTCATTATCACTTAAGAAGGAACTGTGTGTTTTTAAACATGGTGGATGCTCAATGGATTGCAACAATGATTATAATGCACACTAAAAGTTGCTTCCTCCAACAAGTTGCCAACTACATTTATTAATACTATTTCCATTGCTGCCTAATAGGAACCCAAAACTAGCAACTGACATTAATGTAGAAACTAATTAGAGAAGAGTAGTGTTAGCGTTAGCTTTTTATTTCTCCCCCCCATTTAGAGATATAAGAGGGAGATCTCTGCTTCACAATATTTTTGCAGACAATTGAATATATGTGAGTTGTGTAAGTCATTATCTGTCATTGCATTAAATTATAAATTATAGAAGGAAGGATGTGAGAGAAGAGGAAGACATGCCCTATCACGTGAGTTAACTTTTAGTTCACTGGAATTTTTGACAGTTGTAATTTTCTTTTCTACTTATGCACATGCTAAGTTCTGCAAAGTTCAGTGACGTCCTTTATTCACTTCCCATTGCTACTAGATTGAAATATAAACTTCTCTTAAAACCTTTTGCAGTGCTGGCTCCAAACTCTCTTTCTCGGTTTATTGCACATGAATGAACCATACCCACATTATTTCTGAGTCAAATTGGCTTGCTTGCTGTCTCCCTACCTAATTTCCTCATCTATGCCCCTATACAGTCTGATAACCTCCCAGCCACCTCCACAGCATCTAGAATACTCTGCTTCATCTCTGTTTCTTAAACCCTCCCTTTTGTTAAGCCTTAACTCATGTATCAATACTTTCTTCATCTGCCACTTTTTAGTGTTCTCCCTCCTTAAATCATATTATATTTAATCATCTATTTGTATATTGTATCTATCAATTGTTAAGAAAAATTTTAGGGGCTTAGGCTTCCACAGCAGGAGAAGAAACTCCAAGGTCTTGTGGATAGTTCTTCAACCAATCAAAAGTGCTCCAAACTTTTCTATAAACTACTAGTTCCTCAAGAAAGAGCCCTGGAGGCTAAACCAGTTGCAACTTGTCAGGTTCAAGGGTCTTTGACCAGGCAAAGGCTTTTCTCCACTGCACTTGCATAATAAGTTTATTGAATATGAACTGACACACCCCAAGGGCAGAGATAGCCACCATTTTTGAACATGGGACCCATGAAGTAGGCAGAATTAACAGAACATGGACAAACATGCCATGGGCTGTCCAGGAAGGGTGTAACTCAGATGAACTAGACCAATAGGAGCCCTGATGGGTAGAGTATGGATCTTATTAATTGTTTAAAAGTTGATTCTATCACTGAACCAATGCTCACATGCTACTAAAGTATTTTGTGCCTGCTTCTCTCACAAGAAACATAGTAAAGGCTTTCCTTCACTCACTCACTGTAGTAGATTTTTGTTTCAGATTTTTCTAACATTAATAAATGCAAACTGCATGATGGCAAGGCCTATTTTTCATCAAAAAAATCTTTGTATCCGCATTTTTTTGTATGTAGTAGTTGCTTAAAATGTCTGTTAAATTTAATCATTCAAAGAAAATATAAAATGTTTTACATGAAAATATTTATTAGATAAATAAAGAATAGTTTGTAAACTTTTCAAAGCACTTATAATCACAAAGTATTTTTTATGTGTAGTTTTATTTGATCTTTGTAACAGTTCCATTAGTTAGGTAGGACAAGTGTCCTTAATCTGCCCTGATTGCAGTGACTTGCACATAATAGATACTTAATGAATGTTTGTTGAATTAAACAGAATCAATTATTTATTTTACATGTTAGGAGCCCGAGTCTGGAAGAGGTTTGTATGAATTGCCCAAAGTAATACTACTAATAAAAGTAGAAGAATGTGGACTCTCTACTATACTGTCTCTTTAAAATGTAGGATGTCTTATTCATAGAAATAGTCTTAGGTAGACATAAAATGAGAATTATGTTCAGTATGTTGTCCAGCAGACTTGGAAAGAAGTACAATGGCATCATAAATCATAACCTAAAAGTATAATTATTGTGCATATGACTTCATTTAAACTTCAATATTTTTATTATCACATTGACACACATACATATATGCATACATACACAAATACACACTCTCTCTCTCTCTCTCTCTCTCTATCTCTCTCTCTATCTATCTATCTATCTGTCTATCTATCTATCTATATGTCTGTGTGATGCTAAGCCACTCCTCCAGCCCTTATTCCTTACTAAGAAAGTTTCCTCAATTCACTTTGAGGATTGTATTCACACAGTCAAGGGAACCTGGCTCCTTTGTGATTTCTATATGATCTCCTGTGCCATTGAAGCAGTTGCCAGATTGCTTATATATGGCTTTAAAGTATCTAGCCCTCAAAAGAAGCTGAATAGCCAACTCCATCACTTCTGACCTCTTTGCAAGAAAATTGCAGTCTTTCCCAGTAGGGTCCCCATCTTTTCAATCACCTTATAAGGCTCCCTAGGCTGTAGAATAAAAAGGGGAAAAAAAAAGGTTTTGCATTTGGTCCATCAAGCAAGACAAAGTCTCTAAGAGATGCCACACTAAACCTTTCAAGAATTCATTAATCCTTTGTTAGTGCCTATCTCAGTGAACTGAGAATTCTGGCCGCCTGGCCAAGGGACAGCTCATTAAATGTTTGTTGAATACTTCTTCACACATTATCCACATATGCCAAAAGAGCTAGTTTTTTCCTCCCCATTTCTCAGTAGGCTAGTCTAATGAAAAACTATTCCTTAACATCTTTAGCATTGATTGTTACCTACATAAGATATCTGTTAAGCCTCCCAAGTAAGATCACATCTAATTTATTTTCTTCCAGCTGAGCGATGTACTCACTTCATATTAAAGTAATCTTGGCTCTAGCAAAATTTCCTGTCTTTTTCTATTATTTTCTTGGAGATAATTTTTAAAGAAATAAACAGATTGGGGATGTTTTTAACTGAAATTTTGAAAAAATTAAATCCATATTTATGGAAAATAATAATAATAATAATCAGTATTATACTTTTTAAATAGTATGTTTAATAATAATAATGATATTCCTGGAACAAACCTCTTTATTCAGGATTATTTAAATGCATAAAATGCATAGACTTTTCTTTCTAATTTGATCTGAGACAATTAGTAACAATTAATGATTATATCCTAGAAAAGCTGAAAGAAATCCAAGTTATATGCTGTGACACAACTAATGCTTATGTTAGGGAATATTCTTGAGAAAAGATTAGAATAATAGCCTTTGTCTCCCCCTCCCCCAAGCTGATTTCATTTCCAGGGAGAGGGCCCAAATTGGGATTTAGTTAATGTTATTAGAATTATAATAACCCTTAGAGTTCACATGTCCTAAAAACACTGCCATATTCAATACTGTTCTTTTCTGTATTCAATACTCTTCCTTTCTGTATCTCCCACCCCATTTCATCATGCTATTTTTAAGATGCCCTTTTCCATTTACACTTCTTCCCTTTCCTGGGAAATCCCCTATATTTTCTCTCCTATCAAAACTTTCTTCTGCCACTTTTCTTAAATGACCTGTTCACTGCTAGTTTTCCCCCAGGAAAGCTATCTCATAAATTAATTAATGATAATGTGTTAGTAGTCATTAAGACTAATCCTCTATTGTACTCATTTTACCATTTGACAATGTATCTGTTTTCTATCCTCCACAGTATTTCTTTTCCCCTGCTTTTCAATTAAACCCAGAAACAGTAAGAGAAAGCATGTATTTAACAAAGAGGAAGAAAGAAAAAAAAGAAAGGAAAGGAAGGAAGGAAGGAAGGAAGGAAGGAAGGAAGGAAGGAAGGAAGGAAGGAAGGAAGGAAGGAAGGAAGGGATAAAGAAAAGAAAAAATAAAAAGAAGATAAGTAGAATGCAGAATTACACTTTTTCTATTGTTTGCTTTTCTCTTTAACCACAGAACTATATTTTTTTAAAGTGAAAGTATCAACTGAAAAGTAATTAAAGTAGAGAGCTTGTTAAAAGTGAATTTTTAAAATTGGTGCCTCTATCTTTATCAGAAAAATACTATTTATAACATCCTTTATGACACTATTAATATATACCTTGAGCAGCAAATAGCACCAAGTTGAAATGCACCAAAACATGTATTAATTGCCCTATAAAACAAGCCCTGTTGTGTCTTTTTGCTTAAATTAGGTGAGGTTGTCAAGGTAACGCTTGCATCCTATAATATCATGCTGGCTAAAGTTACATACACTAAATCTCATGCCTTGCTTACACAACCACTAATAAGGAAACTATTTGCACAGCACTGAAAATTTGTCATTGTCTACATTGTCTCAAATGTAAATCCATGGTAGGAATCAGAAGAATCTAAAGAAATCCTACCTTTCCTTAGATGTCCATGAATGACTCTAGATTCCATTATTTTTAACCTGGAACAGATCCTGGGACAATTTTGAATATTGATTTCCTTCCTGCTTCTATCAATTCAGTATGCTAAATTTCTGGAACAACCTGTCATTGAAGTTCAGATATCATAGTCAATGTTACTGAGGATAGATTTCACTCATTATTCAATCACTTTTTCACTCAACAAATAGGTATATGTACAAGACAGCTTTAATACCATGGAAAAGACAAAGAAGAGAAAGATGTAGATAGATACATAGATAGATAGATAGATGTGGTATGCATGTGTATGCGTGTACATGTATATGTGGGTATATATGTGTGTACATTTGTTCACATACATCTATATATACAGGTATATATTCATAATATATGTGAAAATATATCCATGTATAATGTGTGTACACACACATACATGTTTGTATAGTATATAGGTATATGTATATGTACAAACATTATATATAACCATATATGTATATGTGAGATATATACATATATGTACATATATGTGTACAGATAGATAGATAGATAGATAATTCAATAATTCACAGAGGCTTCTTTCTCTTAGTCATTGCTGGCAAGATTCTTGCCAGAGCCCTCTTAAAGAAGCTAGTGCTTCACCTGGAAGATGACCAAATACCCAAGAGCCAGTGGGGCTTCAGAAAGGGCAGAAGAACCGTTGATATGGTGTTGGCTATTCAATAGTTCCAGGAGAAATGCCAGGAGCAGAACAGAAATCTGTATACAACCTTCTTCAATCTAACAAAGGTCTTTGACACTGCCAGTCATAAGAGCTTGTGGAAAATTATGGCAAAATTTGGTTGCCCAAAGAAGTTCATTAGTATGTCAGTTTCATGATGGCATGCTTACCTGGTTTCTGAGTAATGCACAATGCTCTTCTTCTTTCTCATTCACCATTGGAGGGAAACTGGGCTGGATGCTTGCTTCCATGCTTTTTCAGAATGTTTTCAGCAATCTTGGAGATGCCTTCAATAAAGACAAAAATGTCATCAAGGTCAGTTATCACATTGAAGGTAAATCATTTAACTTAACAGTGCTACAAGCCAAGACTTAAGTAGAGGGAGAGTTGGTGGGTATTTTTTTTTTTTGGCAGAAGATTGTGCACTCAGTTCAGTCTCTGAGGCTGAGATGCAAGAAAAATATTAATTGATTCTTTTCTGCTTGTGCTACTTTTAGCCTAGCAATTAATACCAAGAAAACATAGGTTTTCTACCAGCCAGCATCACACCATCCATATGTGGAAGCACTGGTTTTGAATTCTGTGGATAAGTTCACTTACCTTGGTAAGTGATGTATACACAGATGATGAAATTGATGTACAAATTGCCAGAGCCAGCATAGTTTTGAGGATGTTACAAAGGAAAGTGTGGGAGAGAAGTGGTATTAGATTGTCTACCACACTTAAGGTCTACAGAGCCACTGTGCTGACCTCACTATTGTATGCCTGTGAAACCTGGACAGTCTACCAGCACCATGCCAAGAAACTGAATCAATTCCATTTGAATTGTCTGAGGAAGATTCTGAAGATCACCTGGAAAGACAAGGTACCAGGCATTGAGGTCCTTTCTGAAGCTGAATTTCCAAGCATTCAAATTCTACAGCAGAAAGCACAACTCCATGTTTGAGTAGTGAACACACATTTGCCTAAAAGACTATTTTATGGAAAACTCACACAGGGCAGGCACTCACATGGAGGCCAAAAGAAGTGATAGAAGGACATTCTCAAAGTCTCCCTGAAGAACTTTGGAATCAATTTTAAGACATGGGAGATAGTTGTACAGGACTGGCCAGCATGGCATGTCTGCATCAAGGAAGGCACTGTACTCTATGAGCTAAGCAGAACTGAAGTAACTCAAAAGAAATGTGAGATGTACAAATTTAGAGAAATCTCTACTCCAAATGTTCATGTGAACTATTTGTGCCTGACCTGTGGTAGCGCCTTCTAAGCTTGTATTGGTCTTATCAGCCACAGTCGGACACACTGTAGCTTGACCCTAACATAGTGATGTCATTTTTGTCCTTTCTGATGATGGACAACAGCCAACCAAGCCTCACTCAGCCAATTATACTGGATATCTTGAAGTATTGCAGTTCATCATTTCAAAGAGAAAAAGTGAGATTCAGTCTCTTAGTATTTCAATAAATTAGGAAGATGAATGAAAAATTTTCTCAATTTCTGAATTTCAGAACAATTTATTAATAGTATGTTAAATTTCTTCTTCACAAGTGGTCCCGTTTTAATTTTATATTCACCACGGATTATGATTATCATGGCAGACACTAAATTCTTGCAATAATAGGCAACTAAATTGGACCTTTTGAAAATTTTTCATTGGTTGTTGGTTTTAATTCAAAATGTAGCCTTTTAGATTTTTCCAATCTAGATTAATTTCATAGATTTTGGCATGATACCCAATTCATCTATGGACTCACATGTATTAGTTTCTTTCATTGTTGGGTTTGGTGGAAGGGAAACAAAGCATGGAAATAAAAGATTTATAAAAATGTATCAAAGTGGCATAACTAGTGTTACATGGGTAATTTAACCCAATGGCAGCGTAAGGTTTGAGATTAATTCTGGTTGGTGTTCAGAGTAATGCAAGAAACTGCCCAATTTATAAATATAGTTTGTTAATTCACAACAGCTTCATTCAGAATAATTTCTTATTCCTGATTCATGATAGTTTCTCTTTGTTGATTAGATTACATTTTACAGTTGATTTCAACAATGCCTGATATATAGTTTGAAGTGGGAGGTTTGCTTTCTCAATTCCTCTGGGTGTCCAGATAGTCCTTCAGTGTCATATATCAGCTGCAAATCAGCCAAAGTGTAATTGTATCTGAAATAATTCCTTGAATATTTGTCAATAGAAGTAAAGAAAGCTCAGGTTGTAAATAAGGCAATCTATTCATGACAAGTGATTAGTCCTTGTTGTGATAAAGCAGGCTTGTAAAAGGCCTGTGTCCTCTTGCAGTTAAAATGAGATGTTAGATAATTCAGACCCTTTTAAATTCAAAGTTGTTTCTGTTTTGATACTCTGAATGTCAAATTAATAGGGCCAAAGATGAATCTTGACCTAACTAGGTATAAACTGTGGAATACTTTTTTTTTTTTACTACTCAAAAGGAATAGGGCATTTCTCCCTACAATATTCACTGTCATCACCTTCAGAAGGATTTTTCTGGAGCTTGTTTCCCTGGAATGTACTATAAGGCTTTGTATAAAGTAGTCTGATAGTGGGGGAATATTTGCTTTAAATTAGCCAATATTGGGGGGAAATGGCAAGATCTTAAAAGAGCTTTAAATTCTATACCTTTATTTTTATAATTAACATGACATCCAATCATTCAGGGAATCAACAAAGATTGATTGAGTATAAACTATGTTTCCAGTTAGGTCCTGTACAAGAGAAAAATGAGAACATATGTTTTCTTTGAAAAAACTCACAAATTATTCTGAGGCAAAATTTATAAAAATGAAATAACCCATACTTCAAAGAAAGTATATATTGAGGTACAAAATCACATAGGATAGAAACTGCATTATACATAGTATAAAAATTCTAAGAAAGGAGCTATCAGAGGAAAGAAAATTATTAAGGTACCTTTATCTGTTTTGCATTATCTTTTGGAGTCATAATTAGAATGATGAAGCAATGGTTTGAAATCAGCAGTGTGTAGATAAATATTCAACAACCAGATATAAAAAAAAATCCCTACAACACAATTATTATTTTAGTCTGTAGTAACACTTTCTTCATTATCTTCTTAAGCTTAGACAATCAACAAACCTCTAAATCGAGCATTTGTAGCATTTATTTCCAAAGTATGAAATCTTATATTGAAAACTTAACAATAGGCTTGTTCTCCAGCACACTCCAATAATCAACCTTGGATGGTTTCAATCTACCTATCCAGACATTTCTCATTATTCTCTTTGACTGACTCTACCAACTGTCCTTGTTATTGCATACAAGTGACACTATCTCCTCTATTCACGCCATTCTACTGGCTGCAAAACTGATTTTCTCTCTTCCCCCAACCCCATATCTGGAATATATTCCTTTATCAGTTCTGCCTTTTAAAATCCCTACTTCTTCTCAAAAAGCATCTCAAGGATCACTATCTGGATGAAAATTTATCCTGATTCCCTAGGGTATGAATGACTACTCTCCTGCCCCCCCCAATACCTCATAATTATTTTGTACATATTTACATGTATACTTGTCTCTTTGAATAGAATATAACCTCTGTGAGGGAAGGAGCTTCATTTCTGGCTTTTATCCTCAATCTAACATCCTATCTGACATAGCTTAATAAATGTTTATTAGTTGGTTGGTTAATTAATTGAAACTAGCTACCTCAGATAGACCAATTGATGAGAACAGGACTGCTTTTCTTTTGTAGAGGAATAGCATAGTTTTTATGAAAGGCTTATTAGGAGAAAGAGACTATAAAAATGATCAAATAATAAGAATCTGCCGTGTAGCCATCTACTGTATCACTGCTTTTTTTTTCCAAGAAGTTTTAGTGTACGTTAATTTGGTCAAGTTATTTCAAACAATTTTAATGTACTGATCAAATAAATTGACCATTACTCCAACTAAAAACTCATTAATGAACTGATAATGGGGCAGAAAGCAGATTCTTATCATTTAATTAAATTCAACCAGCATTTATTGACAGCCTGATATGTACAGGCACTGGGGATATATATGTATATGTGTATGTGCATATATATATATATGTATGTGTGTGTGTGTGTCTGTGTGTCTGTGTGTGTATGTATGTATATGTATATATATAAACATACATATACACACATATATGTATTTAAGTGAAAAGAAATAGTATGGACCCTCACATGTGAATTTTACAATCTACTGGGTAGAAGTGGGGGTTAGAAGATGGACAACATATACATGTACATATACAAAAGAAATAAATACAAAATGATTTCTTGGATGTATGGGAGGACTAACAAGTGGAGGGAATCAGGGAAGATACCTTTCTCCCAATTCATTAGAATAGACTTTCCTGATCCCTCCAGCTCCAGTGCTTCACCTTCCTCATATTAGTTTTTTAGCAATGGAAACAGTAATGGATTGAGCATTAGAGGAGCTCTCCAAATTGATTCCAATTATATGATTACATATGTTTTTGAGGAAGAAAAATATGCCAAAAATTCATAGAGATATAAAGAGCAACCCATTATCAATTCAGTGATTATAGAAAATTTTGTAACATATATGCCCCAATATTGATTTTCTCAAAGCATTTGATTCAGTTTTATATGCATGGCACAACTACTAGAGCGTTTATTGACCATATAGAAAATGGTTCTCCATTTAAAACACATCACTAATGCAGTAAGGTCAAGAACACTTGATATAAAATGGATCTCCAAAGGAGAATATTTAGGCTTGGTAGCTTCTTCTTAGTGCTAAATCCGTTACTATGACTCCTGAATAGAATAGACTATGGCTTTCAAGTCAAAATCTGAATTGAACTAAACAAAATATTGATCACTTCCCATACATGGATGGCATGAAGTTATTTGGTTTCACTTGAAAAGACTTCATCTTGTGAAACTTTCTCCAGTGGTACCAAAACATCAATCAGAGTTTTAGAAAAGTATAAAATTTTTAATGTTCTCCCAAGAAGAGTAGAGAATGAAGCCTTTGAGCTTTAATCCAGAGGTCAAATTGAAATGTGACACTTTCAAAGTAAAGTGACAGTTATCAATACCCTGATCTTCTCCAGTAATGATAAATTGAAAATATGGCTATCAAAGAGAAAGGTGAGGTCAAATATGTTTAGAGACTAATGGGTCTTGAAGTCAAAGCTTAATTGGGAGAACTTATTTAGTACAATAAGCATCTCTCACTGCAGACTGCTATAATTAAGCCCCTATTGAATAAGTGGTAAGATATAAACTGGCATCCACAGTCACACATCAAAAATTTAGTCTTATCGATTAACAGATTATAAATTCCCACACTATAAATATAGACTTTAAAGTATCATGGAAAACTCAACCAATCAGCTGTATTTGCACCAAAACATCATAACAGGTTAAAGTATTTCTTCAATTACCCAGATTTAACATCAATCCATAAAAACTTAAGAACAATTTTTGTAATATTCATTATACTCATAAGGAGCATTTGTTTTTATGTATGGAATGGACTAGACGGTCCATGGGTTCCCTTCCAACTCTCAAATTCTATGATAATATCCAATCTACATGCAATAAAAGCTTTCAATTTATAGAGACCTAGGAGAGGCTTGCATAAAATCATGTGCAAATACAACATGGCACATATTATCCCTGTTGTTCTGTCTTCT